GAGGTGCCATTGACCATCTTATATTGGTTTTACCCAACTCACGCCCTGATTTACCCAAGTCTTGTCTGCCCAACACATGAGATCAGCCCTTTGCCATCCTCCTCAAGCTCTTTTCCTCATGGTAATGATGCAGTTCTAAGGACATAGCTCCTGCAAAGACGCAGGAGCGTGCAGGGTACGGTGCACTTACTGTCAGAGTGTCGTAACCCAGCAGAACGGTGAGCGAGCCGCTCCCGTAGGAGAGCGTGTAGGTCTGCCCGTTGTCGGTGAAGGTGGAGGACTGGCTGGGGTTGAACCTCGCATGGTTTGCTGCGTGAGAGAAGACAGAGAGCTCCTGGACGTGTTTTCTTCCAACCACGCTGTGATTTACCCATCCATGCTGCACCAATAGCCTTGCCAGGAGAACGCTTCTAAAGTGACTTCACAGCAGAGAGAGATCAAGTCCTGAATAACAGCACAGGGAGTCTGTCTGCCCTGCAGTTATTTCTAAGATGGAGCTTTTCATGCACTTTTATCTGTCTCTCAAGAAAGAGATTAGCTACCCAGTATGAGCCAACACATCATGTTAAATCCCCACCGCTCTCCTGTGATCTGGAGTTATCATCAGTTGGGATCTGGTGTTGCTTCGACAAGAGCTCCCTGATCCATAACTTTGTTGGCCCCTCTGTCTAGCTATGAATTCTTAGAGGCCCTGTGATCGTCAAGCGAACGTCCGTAAAGGTTTAGACATCTTCATTAAACAATTGCAGAAGGCAAAACGAATCTTTCCCAAGAAAACTCCAGATGGGCACTAGTCAGTGCAGGGGAGCAGCTACCCTAAGCAGCGTGCAGGATAATTTGGGGCCTTGCACTGTGATTTTCCTTGTGCAATCAGAGCAGGTTGTGTCTCCTGGGGTGTTTTATGCAGAACAAGTGTCATCCCCTTTCAGCAGCCGGAGGTACTCACTGCAGGCTGCAGTCCGGCAGTACACGGATGGCACCCACAGGTTGGAGGAGCCGGTGTCGAAGAGCACCAAGAAGCTCTGCGCAGGGGTCCCAATGCTGATCTCCCCAAAGTAGGAGGACTGCAACAGAGAGAGGATATCTCTGATCCAGGAATCAGGAACAGGATCAGGCTTTTGCCTCCCAGTCCTGTCCTGGATATCTGGGACAATGGAAAGAAAGAGGGAATGAGAGTGTGATGGGCATCCAGAGAGAGAAGAACCTGCAGTACTTACATCCAGATGGTTGGTCATTGGCTCGTACACAACAGAGTCCTCATTGAAGCGATATTTCATGACTGGGTCGCGTATAGTTTTTCTCATGTAGTCCTCCAGCACTCCTGCCTTCTTCATTTCCTCGCGTATAGATGGGAGTTTCTTCAGCTTGATTCTGCACAGAGTAGAGAATCAGTAGAACATGTGGACCTTTCCACATTCTCTCCTTTTGGGCTGTCCTGAACCCTGTCGTGAAGGGCTTCCCTCCAGCTGCTCTTTACTGCTCTGACTAAGCAAGGGACACAGACTAGGACTGTGCATAGCCACAATGATCCATGAAGATACATGGAGCAAAGGAGGAGAGACATCAGCCTCAGCTGGAGCCCTGGGAAAGCTGTGCAGCACCATTACGAATGCAGCAGGTCTCTGTTATCTAAATTCTTCTCACAATTATTCTTGCTCCAGGAAACCCACCTCACCAACCCCTCGGCGAGCGGGAGGCACAGCAGGGCCAGGATGAGCCACTTCATGGTTCAGGGGTTGTCCTGTGCTCTGCACACACGTCTTGGAGGCTGCAGGACGCTGCTCTGAAGCCTCCTGCCCCACTCTGGGATTTTATACCTGGGAAGCAGTGACTCCGTCCTCTATCTGCTGACCTCCATTTTCCATTACCACAACCCATGTCCCCAGCCCTTTCTTTGTGTTTTGGTCCTCGAGGAGTTTGAGAAGGTAGTGTCCTTAACGGGGCATTAAGATGAGAATAGAGCAACTCAGGTCATTGATAGCAAAAACAAAGTGTTAACATCTGATAACAGGTAAATTCTAATCACAACAAAGAGAGGAGTTATCAAAATGTCAACATGCTGCAGCGTTATCTATTTTTCCAAAAACTGCTCTATCCTTCCCCAAACAAAGGAGTTCCTTGCTCCTTGAAAGCCATGGCAATGCGTGTTACTTTTGTCTTCTTTCCAGCTAACCAGGTATAAAGACTCGAAGGCAGCTTGACGTACAGTGATAGCTTTGGAGATTGCTGATTGCCCCTGCGTGCTGATGGAGACTAAGGAAGGACCTAAAGTCCACTGAGAACTTCTGGCTGGGCACCAGCTCTCCAGGCAGGTGGGGACAAGTCAACATGATCCAGGATCAGACCGGGTAGAGGAACAGAAGAGCAGCCCTTGCACTAAAGCCTTCCTTGGAGAAGCAGGTTGCAGCTGATCTCAAGGCAGAGACTCTGCTCTCTGCTTCATTTGTGTGTTATTTCTGCAATATTTCACATTGCAACACATCCTCCAGGACCTGCACAAGCTGAGCAGAGCCTGTCCAAGGCTCCTGCTCGAGAGCCGATTCCCCTGCAATTCCTCCATCTGAGCAGCTTGATTTTCTCCATACAGGGGAAAAGCATCATCCACTGGTAGCCCAGTGCCACTGTCACTCTGCTCATCCAGCTTTGCACATATTTTATTCCCTGGGGAGCACTGGGGAGCGTGTGTGTCCTTTGCTGGGTATTGAGACTATAACAAGGCAATTATCTTGTTTGCTAGCAGGACTGATAGAAAGATCAACTTATTAAGATTGGATAAAAGTCAAATTTTGGCTGAAAGCAAAGAGCAGTTATCAAAACGTCAATATACCCAGTGTTATCTGCAGGTCCCCACAGGTACTGTGACTTGCAAAAAGACAAAGGAATAAGGTGCCCTCTACAGCACACAAAAACACATGTTGCTTTTGTTGCTTTTTGACCCCAGAATTAAATGGTATTTGTATGTTGAGCCATTTAGTTTAAGGGGGAATCAAGAATTTACAGTTTCTGATATCAAAAACTGTGCAGGCTTGACCAGAGCAGGATTCCAACAACTTATTCCTCCCCACAGCTCCAGGCTCCTTTAAGCAGCAGTCACCCAAGCTGATGTCTAATGCAGGACTTTTCCTCAGGGCCAAATTTCCCTTTCTTTACTTACATCTCTTTTTATTTTTATAGTTTTTTTGCTGTATCGGCTTGATGCTTTCGTCTTGCATGCCAACATGCTGCAGCCCAGGGAATCCCATCTCCTCTGCTCACCAGATGACATAGGATCCTCTGTACATCCCCTGACAAACTCCTCCACCTCTCCTGGGACACTGGAGCTGTGCAAAAAAGAGCAAATGAGATGAGTTGTAGCAGGTTTCCTTGACATCTTGAGGGCTTAAACCATTAACTTTCAACACAATCCAACAAATCCCATTAAACTAACAGACCAAAAAGCCACGAAAGAGGCAGATATTCTACAAAATCCTCATCTCGCCAGACCCACTACCTCTCATAGGGCATTTCAGAGGATTAGGGATGGAATCTAAAGGAATATGGGGTATTCAGCCTCCCTCATAACCCAAGGAGTTCTCCTGCCCCAAGACCAGCAGACTGGGGAGAAAACCTCCTCCCAAAGAGATTGCAATTGCTCTAACTCCTCCTGCTCTGCTCTAATCTCTGCTCCACTGACTGCAAATCCATAGAGAAGTGACTGGTCCCAGCTCCAGGGCAACTCACTCCCCTGATCCTTGAGCCTTCGCCCAGGGAACAAGCTATGGATATTTATCTCAACAAATAGTAGCATAAATTAAACATGCACGTGGGACTGACATGAGATTCTTTGGTCCCTGGACAAAGTCCGTTGCTCTCACGAGCATCAAACCTTCCCATCAGTTCAAACCTTCTTTGAAAGCATCAAATCCCATCTTGCTTTTAACCCAATTTTCCATGCCCTCAAGCTCCCCTTGCAGGTGCTGGAGACGTGTGGGTGGAAAGGGGCATCAAGCTCATGAAAAGAAGAGTAAAGCTAGCTGGCAAGTGTGTCGAGCTCCAGCAGGTCGAGGGAGGGGATCCTGCCCCTCTACTCAGCCCTGGTGAGGCCACATCTGGAGTATTGTGTCCAGTTCTGGGCTCCACAGGACAAGAGGGATGTGGAGCTGCTGGAGAGAGTCCAGCGCAGGGCCACAAGGATGATCAGGGGCCTGGAACATCTGCCCTATGAGGAGAGGCTGAGGGAGCTGGGCCTGTTCAGCTGGAGAAGAGAAGGCTGAGAGGGGACCTGAGCAGTGTCTAGAAGTACCTCAAGGGAGGCAGTGAGGAGGATGGGGCTGGCCATCTGGTGTCTAGCAATAGGACTAGAGGAAATGGCCACACACTGAAGGGCCAAAAGTTCTAAAGGAACTTAAGGAAAAATTTCTTCCCAGTGAGGGTGACAGAGCCCTGGAACAGGCTGCCCAGAGAGGTTGTGGAGTCTCCTTCTCTGGAGAGCTTTACAACCTGCTTGGACACAGTCCTGTGCCATGTGCTCTAGGTGACCCTGCGTGTGCAGGGGGTTGGACTAGATGATCTCTAGAGGTCCCTTCCAACCTTGAGCATTCTATGATTCTATGATAATGTGAACACTTTCTATTTGTCTTTTAGCCAAATAACATCCTTGTGCTTAGCTTAACTTTAAGTTTGCTCCTGCTTAGGATAGGCTACCCATACTAAGTCTGACTGTGACACCTGCTTTTACCCTCTAATTTCTTGAGCATGTTCTGGAGTGGAAACCTGCTGAGATTTTTCTTGCTCTATTTTGTATAAAACAAACAAACAACAACAAAAAACACTTCATCTTATTTTTATGGTGCTTTTATTTCTTTGCAGTTGCTTTTGGAGAGAAACCCATACTTTGATCATAGAGATTTCACAGGAGAGAGGTTGCAAATTTTGTAGACATGGAAGAGAGAAAGAAACTGGAGGAGGCACAAGGAGCCTCAATGCTGGGTGTGAGGAAGCAGCGTGGGAGCCGGCCCTGCTTACACAGCAGTGGCAAAGCCCATTTTGTTGTTGCCCACGTCGTAGATGGAGTAGTAAGACCTCAGGAAGACGTCCCCAAGAATCCACAGGGGCTGCCCGTTATCGGATGACACGTAGGTCTCCTCGATCCCAATGGTGCACGTGCCGCTGCTCTGTTGGGCAGAAGTAATGGTTAAAAAGCTCCCAAGCTTTGGCTCTCCCTTATCCAGAGAGCTTCCGTGCAAGGAGATAGCATGGAGAGAGGCACCCAGGAGCCACATGGGCCATGAGAACTTACCTCGAGAACGTAGGCAGAGGGGGTCAAGGGGAAGCTGGTGCCACCGATGACGAAGGAGAGGGTGGGCAGGCTGTCGATGTCGCTGCAGCTAACCACATACTAGGGAACGAGCAAGACACAACTAGTTTATATATGTGCACTGGTAAAGACACGGCTCAGTGCTTCCCAGGACACCGGCAACAGGCTCCTGGGAGAAGCTGTGAGCCAAGAATAGAAATCCAGACATTCAAGTTTGATATATTCTGTTCTTTCCTCTACAAAGATTACATCAAAACCTGGAAGATTTCCTATACCCCTCCAATCTCAGTGCAGAATGGCATCTGCCAGCCACAGATGAAAGGCTCCTCTCTTTTTTCTATTTCTTCCTTTACCCATCCTGGCCTCCTTACCAGGCCGTCGTCATCAGATTCAGCTCCAATGTACTCCATCAGCTCAGAAAAGATGTCCTGGGGAGCAGTGAGGAGGGAGGTTCCTGTATCGACGATCGCCTGGCAGCCGTCGCTGCACCAGCCGGTGGTCTCGCCGCTGATAGAGAAGCTACAGAAAGGGAGAACAAGCCAGAAGTGAAACGGGGTCAGCTCTGCTGCAGAGCAGAGCGCAGGGGCCTGGGGTTTGAGGAACACCTGAATATTCCCTCACATTTACACCGTAAAGAGGGGGGTTTCCATGGTTATACAGAGAGCCATGAATAGACCCCAGAACCCAAACTGTCCAAAATAAGAAGTCATGATCCAGAGCAATCTTGTTCTAGCCACAGGTTTGAGAGTAGCTAAACTAGTACGGAGGAAACAGGAGAAAGACCTATTTTACCTGTCGATGGCAATCTGCCAGTACTCAGTCAGAGTGACGGGAGTCCAGGTGATGTCTCCCGTGTACAGGCTGGAGTCGACACCTCCCAGGACGAGCTCACCTCCGTCAGTGCCCTCCTGCCTGCAAGAGGGACCCACGAGCAAAATACCTGGTTATTTGGGATGATGGACCCCCACCAACAGCAGCCTGCTGGAAGGGGGATGCAGAATGGTAAACGGAATAGGGAATGAACAGGAGAGCAGGAAGGGAGTGCAAATTGCCAGGCTGTCCTGGAGTTCTGTGAGGTTTGCAGTAAAAGGGAAAAGTCTTGGGAAGCACAAGGGAAACAGGAGGAAAAGAGGGAAGAGCCGTGTCCTTACCCACTCAGGTAAAAGCTGAAGAGGGGCTCGTCAAGCAGGTTCTCCTGCAGCAGGCCCTGCATGACGGTGGTGGCACCCCCAGCAGAAAGGGAAGGATAGGCCAGACCCAGGATGCCATCAAACTCAGAATACAAAAAGCTGGTGCCAGGCTCGGTCTCGCTCAGGCCAAACTCCTGGTTTGTGATGGAAACGTCCTGGATCTGGGGCACAAAAGAAGGAACACCTTAATGGGTGCAGCACAGAGCATCAATACCCAGGACAAACAGGAGGTGCATGGGGACAGCCAGGGCTTGTACCAGGAGCCCTGAGTTGACATAAGTGCCTTCCTGAGCAAGGAAGGGCTTTGCCACCCTCCTGACCATGCCCACAAGCCTTGCACCATGTATACAAAGCTCAAGCCTTTCCATTATAAGCAGAGCTCCCTCTTTTGCTCTGGTCTAGACACATTTGCACATCTAGAAGTTGTTTTTCCAGGTAGATGCGCAGCCCCTGGACTCACAGGTGCATTCCCCTTCATTCCCTGCTGCAGCATCACTTACTGTGACAGTGTCATAGCCAAAAATCCCGGTGAGGCTGCCGCTTCCGTACTCAATGGCGAAGTACTGGTCCTGGGTGGAATACGTGGAGGACTCGCCGGGGTGGAACATGGCGTGAGCGACTGAATAGGAAACGCAAAACAAGAGAGCGTGAACCTGCAGCTCAGACAAAAGGAGGTTTCAGACTCATAACCTGGCAGGGAGACCCTAATCCGAGACCATCTTCAGTTCGAGAAATGGGGAAAATCAGAGCAGAATTTGCCATCACCTTCCCTCCCCAAAGTACTCACCGCAGGCCTCGCTCTTGCAGTACACGGAGGGCACCCACAGGTTGGAGGAGCCGGTGTCGAAGAGCACCAAGAAGTTCTGGGGAGGGGTCCCAATGCTGATCTCCCCAAAGTAGGACATCTAGAGAAGAAAGGACATGTTTTTCAATGCCACATCCCTCTTTTCAATCCCTCTTTGGCCAACAGCACCCCTAGGTGCACACACTACTTCTCAGCATCACTGCCAGCATCACAGGACGCGGGTTTCCAAAGCCAGTTCCTGGCTGCAGGGATTGCCACTTAATGCTCTTCTTTGCTAATTTAGACATTCTTACTCTGGGAGATTCAATTACAATCACAATGTGAGTTTAAGCAGCTGTGTTTGTGAACTGCTTGCAAGCACACTCCTTTTTTATGCAATGCCACACGGCTGCTTTCAGAGTATTTCCAAAACAGAGGATCCAGCATGCAGCTGAACAGCTCTCTTCCACACTAAAATAAATCTTCCTCTTTTCCTACGCAACTATAAGAATCACTTCTCAAATAAAACAGTCAGGCTCAAAGTTGGACTCGTAACTTCCCAAATTTCCTTTTCTATTGCCTCTCCATTCCTCATCTCTACATTTACTTTTCCCCCCTTATCTTTGGCAGCCGCTGGATACTCACGTCCAGGTTGTTGGCCAGGGGTTCGTAGATAGTGGAAAATTTGTTGAAGAATTTGTAGGCAGGGTCATAGCGGCGGTGCTCCTTCAGGTACTTCTGCAGCACCCCCTTCTCCTTCATCACTTCCCTTATGGACTTGCCCTTCTTCAGAGGGATTCTGCACACATGCAATTAGCAAAAAGTCATCAAAGCGGTGTGGGATCAAGTGGCGCTTCCTTTCCCATCAGACCCCCTAATTTTGACTCCTCCTATTCCTTTTTCCTCCTTTTTCCATTCCTCCTCTGTGTGATTATGCTGCTGGATGCAGGTTTTCCAGGGTGGTGATTGCACTGATAGGGGAGTCTCTAGGAGGAATATGGTCTAGTCTGGCCACTGGAAAAGCCCTGTGCTTTGAAACCCAATGTCTTCAGCTCATGCAAAATGAGTTTCATAGAATCATAGAATGCTTAGGGTTGGAAGGGACCTCCAGAGATCATCTAGTCCAACCCCCTGCACACGCAGGGTCACCTAGAGCACGTGGCACAGGACTGCGTCCAAGCGAGTTTGAAGATCTCCAGAGAAGGAGACTCCACAACCTCTCTGGGCAGCCTGTTCCAGCGCTCTGTCATCCTCACTGGGAAGAAATTTTTCCTTAAGTTCCTGTGGAACTTTTGGTGTTTAAGTTTGTGGCCATTTCCTCTAGTTCTGTCGGTGGCCACCACTGAAAAGAGGCCGTCCCCATCCTCCTCACTGCCCCCCTTGAGGTACTTCTAGACACTGCTCAGGTTCCCTCTCAGCCTTCTCTTCTCCAGCTGAACAGGCCCAGCTCCCTCAGCCTCTCCTCATAGGGCAGATGTTCCAGGCCCCTGATCATCCTTGTGGCCCTGCGCTGGACTCTCTCCAGCAGCTCCACATCCCTCTTGTACTGTGGAGCCCAGAACTGGACACAATACTCCAGATGCGGCCTCACCAGGGCTGAGTAGAGGGGCAGGATCACCTCCCTCGAAAGGGCTTTTTCTTAATGCAACCCACACGCTGCCATAACTGCTATTAGTATGACCTCTTTGGGATACAACAAGCAGAATCAGGGAAAGCCAAGAGTAAGGGAAAGACAGTGAGAAATTGCTCATCATTAATGTGAAAACCAAGACTATTTTCTAAAGCCTAAGTCATAAGCAGGGCAATACCTAAGACCCCCAAAACATATCTTACATTGCTGCTTTCTTAAATTCACCAGTACGTTAGGAACAACTAAAATGTCCTGGTGATTATTCCCAACTTACTTCACGAGTCCCTCAGAGAGGTGGAGGCAGACGAGGGCGAGGATCAGCCACTTCATCATGATCTTCTCTTTCAGGCAGCTCCTGAAGAGACCTCCCTGCGTGTTCCTGGATCCCACGCTGGTGCTGGGGCTCTGCGACTTCTCCTTATATCCCCCAAAATGGTCCTTATCTCCTTGCGTCACCACGCATTCACGTGCTTAAGTTTATCGATGCATTCACACATTTACACAAAGTATTTGCCCCATAGTGCTAAGGACTATCAAGAAAACCCCAGGTCAAATACAAATACAACTGTTGTTCCATTTCCCAGTTATTCCTTGAACAAAGAAGTTGATAAAAATGACTTGATAAGAGTAACCTCAATCCACAAGAGTGAAGTTCACTACCAGCCACCTCTTTTGATTTGATAGAGGTATCAAAGTCTTTTTCAAAAGACAAATGAAAGAAAAATTTAATTGTGTTTTCTCGAGATAGGATGGAAAAGATAACACAGGTTATCATCAGTTCTGTAATTTGTTTCCTTTCCATGCCACTTCCTACCTCTAACATTTTAGAAAGTTACCAAACGACTCCAAAAGAAAGAAAAACACAGTCATGCTCACTTAGGAAGACACAGATAGCCCTATTAGTTGTTCTTAAATTTTCCTACTAAGGAAAATTTTTAGGAAGTATTTTGATAATGCTTTAGGAAGTATTTTAATACTTTAGGAAGTATTTTGATCCTGCCCCTCTACTCAGCCCTGGTGAGGCCGCATCTGGAGGATTGTGTCCAGTTCTGGGCTCCACAGGACAAGAGGGATGTGGAGCTGCTGGAGAGAGTCCAGCGCAGGGCCACAAGGATGATCAGGGGCCTGGAACATCTGCCCTATGAGGAGAGGCTGAGGGAGCTGGGCCTGTTCAGCTGGAGAAGAGAAGGCTGAGAGGGGACCTGAGCAGTGTCTAGAAGTACCTCAAGGGAGGCAGTGAGGAAGATGGTGCTGGTCTCTCTTCAGTGGTGGCCAGCGACAGAACTAGAGGTGATGGCCACAAACTGAAGCACCAAAAGTTCCACAGAAACTTGAGGAAAAATTTCATGACATTGAGGGTGCCAGAGCCCTGGAACAGGCTGCCCAGAGAGGTTGTGGAGTCTCCTTCTCTGGAGATCTTCCAAACCCGCTTGGACGCAGCCCTGTGCCACGTGCTCTAGGTGACCCTGCGTGTGCAGGTGACCTCTAGAAGTCCCTTCCAACCTTGAGCATTCTGTGATTCTATGATTCTATGAAAAGCCAAGGAACAAGGAACTGTCCTGCAGAGACAAACCATGGGTGCTGAGCCAGCACACAGGGAAGGATACCTGTCTGTGTACACATGCCTGTTTCTTTTCCATTTATTTTTTAAGCCCACTGCACTATATATATTTTTTTCTTGTTTTCAAAATCAGACTGAATTGCATCGTTTCTTTTTTCCCTGTCCAAACTGTCAACATTATATTCTTTAGAATATCAATGCACCATCCTGGGCTGCAGATTTATCCCCATTGGCGGCAGCAGACGGTGTGGAGCTGATGGAGGAGCAAGAAGGTTGCACAGAGCTGTCTACGCTCCGTCCTCTCCTCCCTTCCTGGCCTAGGGACCTCAGCAGTTTGGTTTAGGAACACGTCACACAGCAAGTATTCTGTTCTCTGCCTTATTATCAAAAAGGACAAATAAGATCTTTTCACTCAAATGTAATCTTATCATCAAGGATCCGAATAAACAGTAGATACCATTCACACCCCTGACCAAAACAAGAGGGGAATGGAAAGGACACAACTGACCGCAGACCTTAGGTGACCAAGGTCCCTACGCAGACCTAAGGTGGTTTTTTATGGAACAGGTCTCACCTTCAAAGCCCATAAGGGCACAGACGAGGTACCTGGCTGTGCCTGGCCACGATGGGAGATGCACTCATTACTGGGCACAGGCAAAAATAGCATATTCTAGTAAAGAAAGGGATGTGGAAAACAATGGAAAAAAGTGGGATTCGGGATAGGGGCAGTACCCAGCACCCCTGTGCACTGCTTTCAGCATCACACTGATGAGCAGGAGCAATGCAGCCCGACCCAGCACACTCATTTGTTGCATGTCTGAACTCACAAAGATCAAACTCGCTCCGATTTTCCATCCTGAATGCTTGTACTTACCCATTCTGACAGTTTAAGGTGCTTAAATAACACTGGCAAGGTTTCCAGAAACAAAATGAGGGATAATTTTATCTAAACTGGGTTTCTAGATGTGTAATTTCCCAATCCCATTTTTAAGGTTATTTCACTCACTCTTTTTTTTTTTTGGATTTCCTTAATGCTAAAGGAAAATCTTCATTAAAGCATCTACAGAAATAGAGATGTGTAATTTTCTAGAACTCAAATTCAATAGTAAGTTTTATCTCCTCCTTCTTGAAGACGCAAGCTCCTGAAATAAAGACAACCTCGGCTTTGCTTTATAACCATTCTAATACTGAGATTTACTGGCAAATATAAAAAATATGAGCACTGAAGGCTCAAATGGCAGAAGACAGGTGGAAAAGACCCAATCTTTTAAATTTAGAGGCTATCATGTTTAACCTTTTTTTTTTCCCCTCTTCATTTTTCAAATAAACAGGAAGGAACCCGATGCAACTTTGAATGGTTGGTCCTCGTTGTGGGTAGCATCCACAGGTTGGTCCTACTCTGGGCCACTTCACATGCTAAAAATCTGCAAAGGGGATGGCTGGAAACCAGAGAACCAGCCCCACAACTCAACCCGCACCCACGACTCCATCTGACCTCTCTGCTGGTGCCTGCTTGACTCAGAACAGCCTCTAAAATCCCATGAGCTAAAACAGACCCCTCTGCACGCACAAAATCAGTGATTATTTTGCTGCTGTGGCCACACAGTTCCTCTGTGAGCATAACACAGGGAAGACCCTCGCTTTTCGGAGGAGGAGGAGGTGGTCGCTCGCAGTCTGTATTGCACCTGCTGTTGAGAGACAGCAGAAGAGATGTTCCGAGTAAAACCAGTATTAAAGCTTCATTATCCCTGAGTTTTAATCCTTTTCAGCGTGTTTAATTCAGTGAGGACAGACAGAGGAGCATGAGCATTGCTCTGGGTGGAATACGTACGGATGTAGACTGAGATGCACCGATTATTCCTCCAGAGCAGAGTGTCCCGGAAAGCCAGGGCTGCATTCTGGCCTGGAATGCTCCAGGACAGCAATTCCAGGGCATTTCAGGGGTGCAGCAGCAGAACTCGCTGTGGGCTGGGTTTAGAGAGCGAGAACCAGGATCCAAATGCAGGATGCAGGACTCCCAGCCTAGTTACAGCGCAGCCTGGAACCAAGGAGTACGAGAAGGGCTATGGGATCCCAGCCAGCTCCTTGCAGCTTCCAATTTTGGATAAAAACTAAAACGCATTTTGAATTGTGACAATTTTCGTAACATACAGAAAATACACTGTCAGCAGATGATCATCATATTCCGTTTATTCTGTATACATTCATAGTGCACGTTTATGTAAGACATGAGCACTCCCGGGTAACATAGCTCTGCTACTGCTCTTCGCCTGTAAGGTTACACCCGGATGAAATATAAAGAGGGACTGAATGCAGATCCATAGAAACAACCCAAAGAAGCATTTACACAGCAAGATCAACCTCTACAGCCAGAGCCACCCTGTGTCCCTGGTGCCAGAGCCCTGAGGCACCCTTGTTTTTCTGCCACATCGGAAATGCTCAGGACCAAAGACACCAGGACAAGTTATAAGGAGAATCACACGGGAGGAGAGCTTGAGGTTACACAGATGCGTCTGGGCCTTCCAACCTTAAATCACCTTCACTTATGAAGGAAAAGCAAATCAGATCCGTTCTGCAGCAGTAGCCTTTTCTACCCCGTGGCCTGTACGCGCCAACCTCAAAGCTTCCAGGATTTCTCCCAACGTAGTTATTGCTGCTCCAGGAAAGGGCAGTCTAAACTTGCTCTGCTTTCTGCACACAGCATTTCAGGCCAAGCCCGGCTCAGCCACAGAACAAGCCCCTACGGAGCCCAGCTGCACGGCCCCGCAGGAGCTCTTAATTACCAACGCAGTCATTAACAACCCCTCGTTAACGCAGGGAAGACGGAGGGATGCGGCTCGCGGAGCCCGGACACCCCTCGGTCACAAAACCTCCAGCAAGGCCAGCACCGTCCTCCTCATTTTGCCATGGGGAATTGGGATGGAGCCGGAGCAGGACAAGGGAACGCAGGGCAGGTCCCAGCACACAGCCCCACGCGGGCAGACGCCGGTCGGGGCCGTAGAGGTATTTAATTAATCATTTCTCACTGGAAATAGAGAGAGCAATGGCTGGCGCCAGGTTTGTTCTTCCTCCCAGCGAGCAGCATGGCTTATCAGGAAAATAACACTGAGCGCTCCCAGGAATGAGACAGTTTGAATCCAAATGCTTCTCAAGCTGCCGCCGATTCCTTCTCACCAAGACTGTTTCAAATGTGGCCACCAGAGGAAGCTGTGGGACCGCAGAGCCCACCCTGGGCTTCCTATCCGGAGAAATCCCGGAACATTCCTGTTCCTGGCACCCCAGCGACTGCAGCCTCGGAGCGCAACCACAGCCCCACGGCCCCTGGGAAACGGAGCATTAACCGGTCACTTCATGGGGATCTGGTTCTTGTCAAGTTATCCACAAAAACGGGAAAGGTGGAAAACCGCTGGCACGCGAACACACTGTCCCCGAAAAGCCATAAGTGAGAAGTGGTTCCCTGCACGAGCTCTCCCATTAATTGGTTTACCATTAATCAAAGCAAACCCGATGCAAAGGGGCAGTTTACATGGACCCGCTCCACGTAAACACGAAGCACTTGATCCTTTTCCTCATTTTTTGGGGAGGAGGGAATTCGTATTTTGCATTTCAGCTCAGGCAGTGACATGGGAAAGGCAGGAACATCAGGAGGCTCCCAGAGCACTGGCCCTTGCTGTCATGGCAGGGTCCCAGAGGGTGACACTTAAAGCTTGTAAACTCTTTATTTAACAGCTTCCTTAGAGATAAATACTTCTTTTATTCCCCTCAAATACTTAATTTCTTCTCTTACTTCCCTAAATGAAACCTAGATTTAAGGGGCATTTTTTTCCTTTAAATAAAGTTATTTGGCATAAATATAAAAATATATTACTCAGCTTTCCTATCAGTTATAAGACACATAATGGCTAGGGTAGAGAAAAGAACAAAGACAAGCACAGGGCAAACACAAGGAAACGAAAAATCACCAAATTTTAGCACACAAAGGTGCACCTTGGTTTACACTGCAGTGAACAGCAAGCCAAGAAACGTGTGCTCTGCAGACTCAGGCATGGCATTAGTTACATGTTTTATACTTTTTGAAACTGTACAACACATGTCCTCGCTCCCAGAAAGGTCACATTCCGATATGACACTATAGCACTTAAAATCTGGAAATCAAGGATCTGGACCTCAGAATCAGGTTACAAGGGGAGGATCAGGTACTCTTCCATCCCCAGTGATCTCTGACTCTGTGATCCCTAAAACATTAGGGACAAAATGGACATGGCAAAGCCTTTGTGCCAGGAGTGGGATGGCTCAGAGCACAGGATCTCTCGGCTCGTATTCCAGGCGGGAAGGTGAAGAGTATGGGCAGCAAAAAAGGGGGGACTACAAACCCAGAGCACTTCTAAAAACATCTAATAATGGCAAAGTGTAATCCTGGCAATGGAACATCCTGCAAAGGGAGAGAAGCAGAGACCCTACACAGCAACTCACACGTAGGCCCGACAGCTCAGCTTGTACTCAGCCCTCGTGCAAGGCAGAAACCCACATCAAAGGCCACAGATTCATCCCAGAGCCAATTTAGCCCCTTCCAAGGCTGCAGTTGTAGGAAACGAACTGTGCATTCAGCCAAAACACCCATTTTGTGTGCATTCAGCCAGGCAACAACTTTGATACGGCTCCAAGCTTGGCTGCTTGGCAGCTCCGCTCACGCTTGCACGTCTCTCCGTGCCACTTCCCACCCACCTCGGACAGGGAGCCCCAGGTCACAAATTTGGGATTTGCAGCTGCTCTTTTCCCCCTTTGCAGGGCGGCAAAGCCATGGACGCTGTTCCAAAGATCTGCTCCCCAACCAAGGCCGGGAGCCGCTGAGACGACATCTTTCATATTGGCACCAGTTTTTGTAATTATCAATGCGATATAAAAGAGCATTAAATAAATAAATAAATAAATAGAGAGTAAACAAATAAATAAAACAACAAATCAACAACACTTCTGAACAGGCACCAAAAAGAATCTTTGAAAACCAAAACAGGTAACATGGGACTGAAGCTTTCTAAACCAAGCCTCAAACGTCTCAGATATCTGCAGCCTTCCCATCCTCTTTTTAAGCAAGGTGCCCTCAGGAAAGCAGGTTTACGTGATCACAGTGTCTGGGCCCATGTCTCTGTCCTCTCTTAATTTCTGGAGATGCTGAATTCCATCAAATCTGAGAAAAAGGACAGAAGAATCAAAGACTTCTATGGGCTTCAGGAAAATGGGCAACAGCAACTTGAGAGGGAGAAAGACTGCACTAGCAGCTCCCATGTCATCAGGGACCAGAGAAACCACAAGAAAAAATAAAAAAACAGACTTTGGAATGACTGCACTGCAGAAACTCTTCCCCTGGAGCTCACCAGGAGTCACAAGGCATGAAATCAGCAAGGAACTGGCTCGATTTGCAGCCAGGCTCCTAAAGCGACCTGCTTTAGGGACACTGTTCTGCCGTGACATTGCCCTGCCTGGGCAGCCAGGCTGTTGGCACCGCTCAAGCTGCCAGGAAGGCAGGAGGGTCATGGAATCATAGAATCATAGAATGCTTAGGGTTGGAAGGGACCTCTAGAGATCATCTAGTCCAACCCCCCTGCACACACAGGGTCACCTAAAGCACGTGGCACAGGCACGTGGGTCAACTCCATCCAAGGCTGTATCCAGCCTGTGCCAGCCCTACTGCGAGCACCTTCTGACCCTTCCTCCAGAAGGAAAAATCAACCCTCAAACAGCGTCTTCAAAAACATTCCCAAAAGGCTTTTGAAACAAAGCT